TCCTCCCCCTCCTCCTCCTTCTCCTTCTCCTTCTTCTTCTTTCTTCTTCCTTCTTCTTCTCCTCTGTCTCCTTCTCCTCCTTCTTCACAGGCCTTGAACTCACTATGCAGCCCTCTAACTCATGGCAGTCCTGCATCAGCCTCCCAAGTGCTAAGGTTACAAGCACGCGCCATCACACCCAGCTCAGAATGAGTGGTCTCTTTCCAAGAGCTGCAGTTCTGGAATTTACCAAGTCTTGGTTTTCTCCTTCTAGCTTTATGGCCTGTGGGTTGTGAGGTGCTCCATCTCCCCCTGCACACACCCCCCCCCCATTTCAGAGAGTCCTCTATCCAGTTCACTGCAGGCTGTGGCAATTGAAATGTGTCCTTGCTCATGTTGATAGACAGGGAAAGCAATCAAACCTCTGATCTGTGTTGGATGTAGGCAGCAGTGAGAGGGTTCAAGCACCCACTCTGCTTAATGCCAGCACTTTCAGACCCAACTGCCTCTGAAACCCACACATACTAGGTGTGATTTCTCACCACAGAGGGTAAGGCCTTGTGTTCTTCCTGGGCTGACTTAGGTATCTATGTATAGCCTACCCCTTTTCCACAACTGTCTCCCATAGCTGTCTCTTCCCCAGTCACTGTGGAAGGGTAACACTGGGAACCCTGAAGTGAAGTTGTTTTGTAGTTTTTCTGTGGTTTAGTCTTAAATAATCAACCCCTTTCTGAAAATCCTTTCTGAAATTAAACACTCCATTGCAATATGGTAGGTGCTGCACCAGATTTATTTTCTAATTCTAGCTTGCTGTGTGGAAGGAGTCACTTTTGGAGTAAAACCCCATGCTGTTTATGGTTTACAGTATCTGTGGACTTTTCTTGGCACTAGTGCTGCTGGCCAAATCCATTGTTTCTCCCTGGAACTGGGGTGCTTACCCTGTGTCTATAGAGACAGGTACCCTTCTCCAGGAGCCAGGGTGAGCTTTCCAGACTGTTTTACCCTATTCTCTGCATTGTGCTTCATGTCTCCAGCTTCTCTGTAGTTTCTAATATTCCTGACAGTTCTTGCTCAACTCCCAGAGATTTAATTGTTTTTTTCTTCCCCAAGTTGTTATATTTGAGGTGTCTTGATTTCACATCCCAGGGAGGCTGTATTTTGCTGCTGATTGCTATTCTGTCATTTTGTTCTCTCTAATTACATGAATTCTTATGGGAAAATTCATTTGTTACTCATCAGTTTAGGCACTCAATAGAATTTCTGGAATGAATTAATGATGAAGAACAAGGTGTAACTGTTACAAGTGAGAAACTTTTTTATTTCATATGAACCTAAGAGATTTATAAATGTCTGAGTCATCTCTCTGAAGATATGATATAGGAAATTTATGATTAATGTTTTCAGCTAAAATAGGTTTGTGTCTTCGATTGTATCATTATGCTTTTAATGAGAACTTGGTATGATAGGTGACCAACCTGATAAATACATCTCCTGCATATTATATATACATCAAATTTCTACCTCTTTAATTTTTGTTAGTACACATTTGCTGTATATAATGATTGCATCCATCATGAGGAGTTGGTACATAGTGATAATACATCTTAATATTTTTACTACTTCTCCCCTCCCTCACCCTCCCTTTATCTCTTGGTTCCTTTCTGGTTTACAAAGATTGCTCTCCTTGTTTCTTTTTATCTTTTATTTTGCTCTTTAAATTATTCATATTTTGAGTTTCTCAAATGAGAGAACCCATGTGATATTTAAACTTGTATGTCTGATTTATTTCATTTAACATTATTGTCTCAAGGTGTGTCCATTTTCCTACAGATAAATCAAATTTATCTCTCTTTATGTCAGAATAGTACTCTGTTGTGTATAAATACCAGGTTTTCTTTATCCATTCATCTGTTGATACCCTTTAGGTTGCTTTCAAGATTTAGCTATTATGAGTTGTACTGCTGCTATAAACATAGGTATGCATGTACCACTGTAAAATGATGTCTTCAACTCTTGGAAAATTTCTTCTTTGTATAACCCTTCATATCACTGTTGGAAAGAGCAGATTCTATTAAAAATGATTGAACCTCTGGCTGTCATGGTCAAAATAATTTTCCTGCTCTCCAGTCCAAGATTCCTTACTGCTTAGTGTGTCTTTAAAATGCCAGTCTGTCTTGAATACATTAGAGGCATCCATCACATGTATAGGAAAAATGACACAGTAGGTGTCATAAGAGGCAGAGAAAGCATTCTGTCTTGTCTACTAACTGTGAAAATAATAGTTCCACACAAAAGTGCATACAGCCAGGGTGAAGTTTCACTTTAGTTTGGCAATTTAGGTGTTTAGTCCATGTAGCTGCCTAAAGAACCATACAGTGGACCCACTGGCTATCAGTTTCCAAAAAGTTGTAACAACTGGAAATCTGGGAGAATTACAATCAATGCATAGTGGTGTTGGATCACAGGACCAAAAGAAATACTTTAAAAAATTTTTAGACAGAGTCTTGTTATGTAATTCAGGCTGGCCTTAAACTCACTATTGTAGTCTAAGTTGGCCTTGAACTCCTAGTGATCCTCCTGCCTCAGCCTTCCGAGTGCTAGGATGACAGGCATGCACCACCACACCTGGCTTAAGAAATACATTCTTTAAACTTTAATGGGAATAAGAAATGGGCTGAAAGTGGTTTGTGAAGCCCTCTCTCTTGGAGGACATCCTACATGTGCTTGAGATGGCTTAAAAGAATTTCTATTACTAGGGTAGCCCCAGAAAAGTTGAGTGGAACCAAATCCTCCACAGAGGACCTGTGGGCCTTTACTATTTTGATGAATCCTATGGTGGCTCCTCAACGGTTAAATCTCTTACCTGAGCATGACATTTTGAAAACATGGAGTATGTCTATGTTGGCTGTTGTCACCATTGCTTTGCCTTTTTTTTTTTGCTTTGCCTTTTGATATCCTAGGTGTACTAGTGCAAATCTGCAGTCTGCCTGGGCAAAGGAGGTCATTAGAGAACAGAAGTGGGCTGGGGATGTACCTCAGTTGGAGGAGTGCTTGCCCTCGCCTCAATACCCAACATAGCAAAAAAGAAAAAAAAAAAAGAGAGAGAGACAGAGAGAGAGGCAGAGAGACACAGAGACACACAGAGAGAGAGAGAGAGACAGAGAGACAGGAGAAAAGAGACAGAAGAGGAGAGAGAGAGAGAGAAATTAGTATGTGGTGGTAGGATAGTTTTCATTTTGAAGTTTGACACTGTGGCATTTACAGTTTGGTGCATTGTGCCCATGAATTAATCTTATTCTTTTTGAATAGTAAAAGAATATGTTTTCACTCATTTTCTTTTAGCTAGCAATTGATAGACAATGATTTTGTGATTTGACTTAGATGAAAGTGAGTGACAAAGGGCAAAATTAGGCTCAATAGTTATTATTACTTTGATTACTCTTCCCTATAATCTTTGTCCTTCATTTTGATAGAAAGGAAAGGAGTTTGGATTTTTTCCCAGAGATGCAGTCCAGATTGAAGAGGTGTTCATATCTGAAGAAGTTCAAATATCAACTAAAGTGAGTAAACTCATACCTGGCTCTTAATTGAATTAAAATTTCTTTGCTCAAACAGTTTTCAAGAAGTGTCCATTGTTCACTCTTTCATAGAGTGACCAAAAATTAGTTGGTCTGAGAACTTGCTTAGGAATAGTTTGACTATGTAAATAGACCTAGGCAAAACAGAGACAGTTATCTGGATTCAGTATTTTTCTACACTTAATCTTAGCCAAAAGGCCGAGAAGTGATAAGGATTCAGTATTTTTTTTTTTCTGTTTGAGAAAGGCCTCGCTGCATTACCCAGCTAGCCTTGAACTCCCTTAGCCTCCAGAGTAACTGAAGAGCTGGGATTATGAGCATGTGACATCACAGTCAGTTTACCCCAGATTCTTAGGACAAATTCCTGGAAAACAGACACTGAGATAAATTGTCATGTCAAGAAATTTTCTGAGGAGTACTCTTGGGACTAGGACCTGTGAAGGAACAAAAGAAAATGCAACAGAGCAGTTGAAGTGGCATGCAGTTAAAATAAATGTTATCAGTTCCACAAGGAGCCCTGAAGCTGGGATGGTCCTTCAGAGTTATCTGAAGAGAAGCAAGGAGGTTAGACCATCTACCTTGAATTACTGGGGTAGAAGTAATGTTGTCTGGGCTAGTATAACTTTTTTGTTTGTTTTTTGTTTTTTGGTACCAGGGACTGAACTCAGGACCTTGTGCCTGCAAAACAGGCATGGATAGCAACTGAGCTAAATCCCCGGCTCTGGGGTAGTAATAACTTTGATCTAGGCTAGGCTAGTGTTTTCTAGAGCCAGTTACTGTTATTATTATTATTATTTTTTTTTTTTGAGACAGTGTCTCACTATTTACTTCAGGCTGGTCTTGAACTGACTATAAAGCCCAGGCTGGCCTGGAATTTGTGGCAATCCTCCTGCTTCAGCTTCCTGAATGCTGGAATTACAGGCATGCATCATCACACCTGGCTCAACAGTTACTATTCTAAGCACTTGACTCATTTTTTTACTTATAATACTCCTATAAGGTAGAGACTGTCAACATCTGCATCTTATAGACATGGAGAAAGAGGCATAAAAAAGTCATATAAATCATCCAAAGTCGCAGAGCTAGTAGATAGCACTGTTAAGAGTTAAATTCAAAAGGTTAGGGCGGGGGATTTAGCTCAGTGGTTTCACTGCCTGCTGCGCAAACTCAAGGACCTGAGTTCAATTCCCGGTACCAAAAAAAAAAGGTTTGACTTTAGTGTCTGTTTCTTTTTTTCCACATAGGGTCTTGCTATGTAGTTCAGGTTGGCCTTGAACTCACTATGTAGTCCAGGCTGCCCTCAAATTTGTAGCGATCCTCCTGAGCCCTGGGATTTAAGGTGTGCACTACTGCAGCTGGCTTAGTGTCTGTTCTTAATTACTCACTATATTGTATTGCCAAAAATATAGTATAAAATATATTATGTTACAATATATAAGATATATTATAAATATATTTTCAATGTATAGAATACATTACAAAATTGTAGTTCTGAAGCTTATTCTTTAAAAGTCTCAACTTTATTCTCATTTTATAATGGTAATAGCCAAGGAAGAAAACATATCACTCTTTCTAAATTTCAGGTTTTTAAAAGTGTTTTCTTAAGGTTTTTTTTTAGGATTTTGTTGCTCTGTGAAATGAGCAAAATAGATCCCTACTTCCATTGGCTATATTCAATAGCCGAATAAAGGAAGCCTAAATAATTTAGTGCAACTTTTGTTTTTTGCTTTTTTGGTACTGGGGATCGAACTTGGGAGCTTGCGCTTGCAAGGCAGGTGCTGGAACCACTGAACTAAATCCCCAGCCCTTTAGGGCAACTTTTAACTAAGCCTTCATGTGCTAGCATCTCTGGTATATCCATGCTGTGACCATGTACAAGGGTGAAACTGACTAAACCACTGTCTCAGTCTGTTTTGTGTTGCTTTAACAGAATGCCAGACACTGGGAATCTTAAATAACAAATGTATTTCTTACAGTTCCAAATGCTAGGATGTTCCACATCAAGGTGCTGGCATCTGACAAGAGCTTTCTTGTTGCATCATCCCAGGGTGGAAGGTGGGAGGGGGAGAGAGGGCGAGAGGTCAGAGAAGACTGAGGTTATCTTTTGACAAGGAAGCAACTTTTGCATAATGTACTCACTCCCACGATAACCGCACTGATCCTTTCACTGAGCTTCTGGCCTCCTCACTTCTCCTTAGGCCCCATCTCATAATGCTGTTGCATTGAGGACTGAGTCGCTAATACAGGCTTTTGGGGAATACATTGAAACCACAGCACCTTCCCCTAATCACTGCACAGATGCCTCTGCCCACGGCCTCTTAGGAGATGCAAGATTTTGTGAATACGCATGCTTTATCACCAGAGCTTGTCTGCAGAATATGCTCAGAGCACTGATTCCCTCTGCCTGTCAACTATTTAATAACAAATGAACCATAATATAAAAGGATTTTCATTGAGTTGATATCATTAGCCCCTAGAAGTAAGTTGCGATACAAATATTTGAGAGTAGATCTGACGTGAATTTTTGTTCTGCTGTCAAACTCATTGTGTGTTCTTGGGAAGATCATAGTCTTCCCTTTTAATGGTTCAGGGAGAAACAAGGAGCTTTAGTACACTGATGCCAACGATGATTTTGTTTTTCTTTTAGGAATCTGATTTTCTTTGTCTCCTTGGAGTAAGCTACATGTTTGAAAATGAACATAGTGATTTAAACAATGACAATAGTGAAAATATATATCCATATGAAGAAGATAGAGACCTAACATATAGTATATATGAAAGTGATTTCCAGATAAAACCTGTATTTTATGCAACTCCTCCAAGTACTTGGTTTGAAGACCAGTTTCCAGCATCAGAGGCTCCTGAAGATATCAGAAGTGCCAGTGAATCAAATGGCTGGGAAGAGGCAGAAGCTAGCAGTGTGGAACAGGATCACATTCCAGAGGTGAATTATGTTTCGTCACCCTTACCTGTGCGGGAAGTACAAGGACGATTCGGATTAGGGACAGAACAAGCTCAAGAGAAGGCTATTGAATCAGTTACTGAACCTGTACAAGAAAGCTCATTTCGAAGTAGAAAAATAGCAGTGGAAGATGAGAATGACCTGGAGGAATTAAACAATGGTGAGCCTCAAACAGATCATAAGCGCGAACCTGAGTCAGAATTTGAATCAGTGCCCGAGGAACAGCCCGAACAAGCTCATGACTTAGAGCACATTCTCAAGCCTGAAGCCACTGGCTGGTTTGGTAGTGGATTCATAAGTTATTTAGGTTTTGGTGAGGAGGATACAGGGTTTGAATTATTATCGGAAGAGAGCAATCTACCACTACAAGATTTTCCCTATTCTATATCATCTGATGAAGAAGCCACAGTTCCATGTACAGAAATGTTAACAGAAAAAGAAGACACAATTACTAATGATAGCTCAATTCTCAAGCCAAGTTGGTTTGATTTTGGTTTTGGTATGCTAAGCTTTGCATATGCCAATGAAGATAAAATTATTTCAGGTGATGGAAAAAATGAAGAAGACAGTGGGGTAAATAAACATGAACACCCTCATGCAAGTGAATTTAATTCTGATAAGGAAGAGGAAATAAAAATGATAAAAATTATAGAAACAGAAGACCAAACAGAAAAGGAAAAAGTCTTTGAGAAAACAGATGATTCCGATACCATGCCATATTTGAAAAAGTTCTTGTATAGTTTTGATAGCCCTTGGAGCTTCGAGAATATTCCAAAGGAAACAGAATTGCCAATTCCTGAACAGATACTGGATCAAAATTATGTAGTTGAACGTGAAGAAACAGAAGAATTTTCACTTGAAAATTATCCCACAGATAATGTGAAAGATCTTGTGATGTTGGACAACAGATACAGTCAGTCAGGTTAGTATGAAAGTATTTATAATATAATTTATTTGTCAACATAATTTATTTTTATAGTGCAAATTAAATGAAAAAGTCCATGAATCCCAAAATAGTCAATAGTCAACAGCCATCATCCTCTTATCAATTTCTGGTTTACTTAGGAACTTAGATTGGAAATGCGGTTTTTTTGGTACTGAGGATTGAACTCGGGACCCTGCGCTTGTGAGGAAGGCGCCGGAACCACTGAGCTAAATCCCCTGTCCCGAAAATGTCTTGATGTTCTAAGAAGATCTTGTGGTATTTTACAGTAACTTCTGTTATCAAAGTATTGTATGTAAATGTAAATAGGTTTAAATTTTTAAATAGTGCTAAGAATTTTTTAAAACAAAAGCAATTTCTGTTCCCTTTGTTATCTTTACTCTCACATCTGTCCCAGAGACAATAATTTCTGTTTTTTGTTTTAAAGTAAAATTCTTTTTAGTGTTTTTCTCTAGATTTCTAAATAAAACACTTGCTTTGTTCTTTTTTTATTTATCTATTTTGGACAATGTCTATTGTCTTCCCATTCTTTCTCTTCTGGTAGATGAAATTTTTCACTCATTTATACTCCACTTTTTGGATCTTCCCACAAACAACCATATTTGAATGGTTTTCTTAGGAACTTAAGCTAAGGGAAATGCAGTAATTCAAAATAGCCGTGATCCTTCAATTATATTGTATTATAGGTCTGTAGTTATCCTTTGTTCTGTTTTCCCTGAGGAACAGTATAACTCTCTTCTCTAAGTGTACATGACAATAACAAATTTCGAGCAAAAATAAGGTGAAGAGTTTTGGACACTCTTCCTCAAGTCTCTCAATTCTGGGAGGATAATAGAAGAAAGTATTAGGAAACTTCTAGATATAGTTGCCCAGGTATCTAGCAACTCCTAGGATTAAAAACGTGTGGATTGTATTTTAAGTGAAGATTTTATTACATGACTTCCCATATCTTCATTCTGATGTCTCTTTGATGAACACATTAGAAACTCAGGAAATATTGACCAATAAAGCAGAAATAATTGAACTCTAGAATGACAGAAAACCTTTCTGAAAAGGCCAAAAATGTTGCAAATTCATAAGGAAATGTATTTCCACTAGAATTAGTTGATTCTCCTGAATTTCCAGAACAATATGTTATGCCTCAGTATTCTCCAAAATGTGGGTTCTCTACTTGATCAACATCCTCAATCAGCATGTGGATATTTAGAGTCTAATCTTTTTCAAAGCCAGAAAAGTACATGATTAAAAACACTAGAGCCCTAGACTGTCTAAGACAAATTGAAAAAGAAAATTTCTTGTTCTAAACTTGTTCTATTATATTCTACTCTATTTATTTATTTATTTAGTGGTGCTCGGGATTGAACCTAGGGCCTGGCACGTGCTAGGCAAGCACTCTGCTACTGTGCTACATTCCCAGACCTCAACTTGTTTATTCTAGAGGAGAAAGGAGAGATTACAACCAAACAAATCCAGAAGTACAGAAGATTCAAGGTTGATATAGAAGAAAATATATTTATTTTTTGGTACTAGGGATTGAACTCAGGACCTTGTGCTTGCAAGGCAGGTGCTGGCGCCACTGAGCTAAATCCCTGGCTATAAAAATATTTTAGAACATAGTTTTATGATTTCATGGCATGATGAAAATATTTTCATAAATATTATTTATCATTTTATGGAATGATGTTGGAAGGATTTGTAAACATGAAAAGTATGATGAATAGTCAAATAAGAATAGGATATGCATGCAATTTTTACTAGCCCTCCCATGCCCCGCCTTACTAGGTACCTTCACACTGAACTACATCCCCAGTTCTTTTTTTTATCTTTTATTTTGAAACAGGGTCTTGCTAAGTTGTTAAGTCACTATATTGCCTAGGCTGGGCTTGAACCTGCGATCCTCCTGCCTCAACCTCCCAGAGTGCTTCAGGATTACAATTATGTGCCACCATACCTGGTTTACATCTAATTTTGAAGGATTTATTTAAAAATACTCAGTTTGGGCTGGGGATTTAGCTTAGTGGCACTGCATCTGCCTGGCAAGTGCAAAGTCCTGAGTTTGATCCTCAGTACCAGAAAAGAACCAAGATAAAAATACTCAATTCTTTTACTTTTCAGAAAGAACAGATGTCATATATAAACAAAGCAGGTTATTCCAAAACATTAAAATTAAATGAAAGGCAACCAGAGACCATGGAAACACTGGTTTTGAAAAAAACAATCCTGACAGAGGGGTTTAGATAAAACCCCAGGCCTTATTTGGGGATGATGGCACACACCTGTAATCCCAGAACTATGGAGACTGAGGCAAGAGGAGCCAGGCGAGTTTGCCCAACGTGGGCTACATAGTGAGTTCAAGGCCAGCTTGAACTACATAGCTAGAACGTCTCTCAAAACACTAAAAACAGGGCCAGGGATCTAGCTCAGTGGTGCCGCTGCCTGCCTCGAAAGCATAAGGTCCCAAGTTCGATCCCCGGTACCAAAAAAAAAATCAAAAAGCACAAAAAACCCCACTAAAAACAACAAAAATAAAAACAAAAAATCACTGATCCTAAATCAATGTTTATGAAAGGCTGGGACTTGAGATGACTATATTTATAGAAAAACTAGCAGGCAGATGTAGGAATTTGTCAAACATATAAATTAGAGAGCAGTTATTTATTTTGCAATATTAATTATTTCACAAGCTCCAACTGAGCTTATTTGAATGAGCTTGCAAAGTAGTTAAATATTAAAATTATTTTATTTGACTTAAAATTATGTTAATGATTATAAACACATGTGTATATCTAATGTAGATCTTAAAGCTTAAGTTTAAATCATGTGAAAAAGCCCTTAAAACTATAATTAAATATGAAAATACTATGGGGAATATCCACTTATTTAAACATACATATTTATTTTTAAGGCAGTATTTTGATAACCAATATAGCCACATAAAAATTTGAGCGTAATGATTGAATAAGCCCCATTTCCCTAAGGTCATTAAACATCATAGATCACTGGTTGATTCCTGTACAACCATCTCAGTGTATTCAGACTCCTGACTTGAGCCTGGCGTGGAAGGAATGCACCTGTAGTTCCAGCATTTGGGAGGCTAAGGTGGGGGACCCTTTGAATGTAGGAATTTGAGACCAGCCTGGGAACACATCAAGACCCCCATCTCAAATGAACAAAAAATCCCTGGGATTTCTATCCTCAGTACCCCCAAAACAGTTTCCTACCTTAATTACTCCTTTTTACATCTACAAGTTCTTTGGTGGCTCATGTCTGTAATTCTAGCTCTCTGGGAGGCTGAGATAGGAGGATCGAAAATTCAAGCCCAACCTGGGCAATTTAGCAACTTAGTGAGTCCCTGTCTCAAAAATTAAAAAATGAAAAATGGCTGGGAATGGAATGCAGTGCGAAGGTCCTGGGTTCATTCCCCAGTACCCCAGTAATGAAAAAATAATTTCTGATATGTATTTGCTCACCTGGAACTTTTATCTGTTGGATAATGCTAAATAAGGATAGCATCAAAGTACTGTTTTAAAAATCATTACACAAGGACAAGGGTTGTAGGTTAGTGGCAGAGCACTTGCCTAGCAGGTAGGAGGCCCTGAGTTCCATCTCCTTGCTGGGGGTGGAGGGGATCTTTAACTCAAAGAGCAAATCCAGGCTTTTAACAATTCACTTACTGCTTAATATGGCTTTTTGGGACCACATTGATTCTTTGTTTGTTTTTTCCCCTTGTCTTAAAAAGTAACTGAGAATTAGATTCCAAAATTCATTTGAATATTGTACTTCAGGATAGGATTAATTAGAACTTTTTCTAAGCGTGGTCACACATGCCTGTAATCCTTGCACTTGGGAGTCTGAGGCAGGAGGATCGTCAGGAGTTAGAGGCCAGCCTGGGCTACATAGTGAGAGTTAAAGGAGAGCCTTGAATATATAGTGAGACTTAGCTCAAAAATAAAAAAGCCAAAAACCAAAAACCAAAAAAACTGTATTTGACTAGTCAATTTAATCAAATGATCAGATTAAATGGTGTTTGACAATTGATTTTCCTTTTTTAAATTTATTGCCTGATTTTTAAAATAGGAAAACAATTATTGGTACATTTTAGGGATACATAATGATAACACTCTTCAGAGGGAATTTGCACCTCTACATGGTACATCCTGTCCCTTTTTTCCCCATTTCCCCATCCCCGCAAGCCCCCTTCCCTCCCTATGTACAAAAGCTTTGTTTCCTTATATTTTCACTTTTTTTCTTGTCCCTTCCTTCCTTTCTCCCTCCTCCTCCCTTGTTCCCCTTCCCATTTGAACATTTTCTTCCCATTTCCCAATATCTATTATACATTTAGTCCTTATTTCCACTTTCAGTTTCTCACACCAGAGAAATAATGTGGTATTTAAGCATGTGTGTCTTATTTATTTCACTTAAGAGTATGGTCTCAAGGTCCATCCATTTAGCTATAAATGTCTGAAGCTCATCCTTCTTTATGGCAGAGTAATATTCCACTATATAAAAAACCCACATCTTCTTTATCCATTCATCAGTTGATGGGCATTTGGGTTGTTTCCAAGATTTAGCTGTTAAAAACTGTGCCTCGTGCCGGGGATTTAGCTCAGTGGTTTCACTGTCTGGTGCGCAAGCACAAGGACTCGAGTTCAATCCCCGGTACCCCCCCAAAAAAAACAAAAAACAAAAAACTGTGCCTCTATAAACACGGATGTGCACATATCGCTGTGGTATGATGCTTTTAATTCTTTCAGGAAGATACCGAGAGTGGTATTCAAATGGAGCCTGTAGCTTTAGTTTTTTGAGAAATCTCCATACTGATTTCCACAGTGGTTGCACCAGTCTACACTTCCACCAACAGTGGAAAAGGGCTCCTTTTTCCCCACAGCACCTCCAGCTTTAAAAAAAAATTTTTTTTCTGGTACTGGAGATCAAACTCAGGACCTTGCACTTGCCAGGCAGGTGCGGCACCAGTGAGC